TTATTATGGAACAATCTGATTGTGATGTTAATGCAACACCTGGAAGATCAAACCTCCGTGTTCTCTCCATGGATATCAGCTTTTCTGAGATAAACACCTTTTATAACCCTCCTGATAGATTTCTGAGCTGTTGTTCAAACAGGAAGGTGCTTTCTAGCAATCTCCTCCGGTGCACCCAAAGGCCTCTGTCCCCTGCAGTGTCATGGAGTTCATTCTGCCCTCATATCTTCCTTCAAGACCGAAAGATCCTTTAACGTGCCTTTAAACAGGTCTCACCTGGGAGGCTGTGGACAGCCATGAGTTTGTGCACCTTTGTTCCCTGATGGAAGGTGTTCTCCAAAGAGGAGCTTGTTCCTCACCTCCAGTGCAAGGTCTCCCAAGAGGACCAGAAGAGCTGGGCACCAACAGCCTGTGTTGTCTGCCCTGACTCCAGACAGGGCCACCCCCACGGCTCCAGGAGGGCAGGCAGCCTTTGGAGTGAAATGTGAGTGCAACTGCCAGCTGAGCACCACAGACACCCAGAGGTGAATCCATGAGGCTCTTTCCTGGGCTCAGGGGCAGGACTGGGGCAGGGAATGCCTCTCCCATTCCTGCCAGTGTGCGACTTGAGCCCAGCCTGGCAGTCAGGATTTGGGGTGTTTGGAGCAGCCCCTTTTGGTTGTGTATCCTCTGCTGCTCCTGAAAAGGCTGCTGCAGAGCCATGGGCGATCTTCCATATCAGCCCTGGCTTGCTGAGGGGCCAGGAGGCTCTGACACAGTGTGGGAGGCAGCTGGGAGTGTGCTGTGGCTGGGGAGAGGGTGGAGGAATGTGCTGGTCCTTTCCAAGTGCCTCAGCCCTTCAGGAACCTGGCCTGAACCTCCTTCCCCCTCCCATCTCTCCTATCTGAGCAATTCCTGGGGGCTGTGGGCAGAGATGAGCCCTCCCAGCACGTGGCCTGATATTCCCCAGAGAGCTTGCATGGATTATTTGCTGCTGCTTCAGGTCAGCTGTGCTAGGCAGAGACGAGCAGCGGGTTGGGAATGCCAGAAGGAGCTCTGCTTGCCTGGAGGGCTCCAGGGAGGCAGGAGGTGTGTGATCCTGGTGGGTCTAGGGAAAACTTGTGCCCTTTTTCACCTGGGCATCCCTGCCCAGTGCTCTGCACGAGAAGAGGCTCTGCTTGCACCTGGGGCAGTGCTTGGTGGGCAAGGGCTGGATGCAGGGCCCTTGGAGATGGGCTGTGTTGCTTCCTCTTTGGAAGAAGTTGTGACTTTCTGCACATTTCTCGTGACCAGCTGGTGAGGTTGCAGTCCCTGATCCCGGGTTGGGGTGTACTGAGTGTTTATAGTGCCTCTATCACTTTTGAAGATAAGGGCACATTATTTTATTGCCCTGTTCCTTCCATCGAGGCATCATGCAGAGGGGAAAGAGGAGAGGGGAAGGACTCATTTCCTTATGGCAGGGGATTAGTCACTGCAGCCTGGCCCTCCAGTGAGGGCTGCAAGGCTCCCCACTCCACCACACTGGCTGTGAGGTGGGGGCTTGAGATGGAGAGAGCCCTTCCCCACCCAGCCCTCTGCCCACTCCTGCTTCCCCCATCGTGCCCTGAACTTGGCTGTGCTCCCCTGTGCTTTTCTTGCAGGGAATCCTGGAGCACCCTCAGCTTTTGCCACTGAGCTGGTGAGGGGCAAGAGCCTCTGAGGGGCTGGCTCTGTGCTGGCTGGCTGGGCTCCATCCCTTCACTCACGCTCACCATCAGCAGATCTGCCCCTGGGGCAGTCTGGGTTCCTGTTCTCCCTGTCCCTAGGCTGGGTGACATCCAGGCTGCCCTCAAGAACCTGCTTTATCAATAATGAGGAGCATGGCTGTTGCGTGATGCAGAGATAACCATTGCCATCACAGCTGTGCACCCAGTGTCCTCCCCTCCCTTCCCATCCTCCTTCCCAAGTGGAAAATCTGTGTCAACCTGCCTTGCCCCGTAGCCAGGTTTCACTTTGTTGGGTTCATTCACATTGAAGGCCAGGGAAGCTGGAGGGGAGAAATGTCCCCCTCCCTGAACTCACCCACTGCTTAATGCAGGGGCTTCCCTGTGGCAGGGCTGGTGGCCCAGGGGCCTGGGGAACTGGTCCCTGTTCCAGTGTGATGGTGTTTCTGTACCCCAGCTCTGAGCTCTGCCTGCCTCTGCCTGTGCCAGCTGCCTTTCTCCTTCTGGGGGAAGCTTCCCTTCTGCTCCTTGAATTAAAGCATTAATAAGCCCAGCATTAATCAAGATCTGAGCATTTCAAATGCCCCTTTGTTTAATTAGCACAGTCTCTGCTCGCAGACAGGAGTGGGAGGCGAGGGGCAAGGACCCAGTGCCCAGGAATTCCTCCTCTTTAAGGTGTGATGTTTTGTGCCAACTATTTTCTCTCCCACTCTCTCCACAAGCTGCCCAGAAAAAAAAAAAAAAAAAAAAAAAAAAAAACCAAAAAAACCCCCGAAAAAACTAAAAGCATTTATGGACAAAGGATCCTCAGAACTTGCAGCATCTCCTGGGAGGCTGCACCAGCAGGTTAAGCCTCTTGCATGCCCCAGGACACTCTTTTCGCCAGGGCAGGAATAAATAAGTCAGCTGGTCCAGGATTGACTCTGTGCTTTGTGCTTTATCCCTTGGCCATGGAAATGGGGTCACTGGCCTATGCCTGGAGATCCACCTTGGTTCCCTTCAGCGAGTGTCACCCTGGGGATGGGTCCCTGTGTAGCTCCTTGCTCTCTGAGGAGGGGAGAAAGCGTGACCCATCGTTATCAGGAGCGTCCTAACCCCACAGCAAACATGATTTCACTGGAGCAAGGGTGATGGTGGTGACGTTTGAGTGGGGACCACAGTCCCTTCCTCTCCATGGCCTAATCTAAATTGCTTTACGAGGGGTCAGCAGGTAGACCAAGGTCTCCTGCTCCCTGGGGTGGTCTCTGGGTGGCCCTGTGCTGTGGCACAGCAGAGCAGGGGTTCTCTCACCTGGGGCAGTGGTACAGCAGATGGACTAAAATGTTGCTGCTTGTTGGTGGGCAGTGGGGCCAGGCTGCCTGCACCTCCTCTCCTGCCATGGCCTGGCATGTGCCAGCATCCCCCAGTGCCACCAGCAGCCTGTGTGGATGTCCTGCTGCAGTTCCTGTGCAGGGCTGCAGCCACACAGCCTGTCCCTGCACAAGCTTGGCTCCTGCCTGCCCATCCCTTGCAGTTTTCCAGTGTCTCACTGGTGGCACTTTCTCCAAAAACAGACCTTCAAGGACCTCGGGGCTCAGGACCTGCCTGTGGGGCCTCTCTGTAGCTGAGCTGGGCTGCTCAGATTCCACCACAGGCAGAAGCTGCCCGTGGTCCTTGGGACCATTATTTGCCCAGGAGTGCCCGTGCTCACTGGGATGGGGATGTGAGAATGCCAGGGCTGCCCACCACCTGGGGACTTGGGTGTGCCACACACAGGGGCAATGAAGCCCCCTGTAGGCACCCCAGTCTCATCACACCTGCACTCCTAGAAGCAAGAAGGGCTGGGGAGACAGAGGGAAGGTGCTACCTGCTATTATCCCACAGGGAGCTCTGCATGTCCCTGCTGGCACCCTGGCACTAGTGGTGCATGGCAACCTCCCAGCGTGGTGCCCAGGGACAAACTGTGCCAGGGAGTGGCCCTCCTCCCCCTCAGCAGTGCTCCCACCTGCCGGGGCTCCCGGGTGACAAAGCCATCAGCGGTGGGGTGGGGTAGGCAGGCCAGAGCAAGGGCCAGGGGCACCTTTCACATCTTAGCCCCCTTCACAGCCCCCTGACGGCCCCTCGGTGCCAGAGAAAAGCTCGGATACAGTGTGGCTAGAAAGACTGATTTATTGCGACATCGGTTTGCAACCAGCACTCACCCCCCGCCCCCAGCAGCGACTCCAGACCACGCACATGCCCTTGACCCTGCCGCGATGCCTCCGTGGCCAGCGGGCCGGTCCCTGGGGCCACAAGCCCACTCCCCTTTCCAGGTAGGTTCACTGGGGCTGCAGGCTGGGGTCCCGCCGTGCCAGGAGCTGCCTGCGCGCTGGCAGCACGGAGTAAAGAACAGAAGCCGGATTCAGGGTCCTTCAGCAGTGTAAGCCACCAGCTGGGATCTCCGAGCAGTCACAAGGCTCTCAGATTCCCAGGGAGAGAGCGGGGCCAACCCCCCCACCCCAAGCAGATGAGAGGGCGATGCCGCCGTGCCCTCTGCTCTTACCGCGCTCCCTTGGTGCCAGCCCGGACGCTCTGGGGAGCCAGGAGAGGTGCCAGCCTGGTTCCCCCCTGCAGCCACTACACGTATCCCGTCAGGTTGTAGGAATTGACTTCGCTCTTGGTCTTCTGCACCTGGCTGACGGAGGGCTGGGGGCTCTTGCTCGCCAGCAGCTGGGGCTGGTAGGCGCTGGTGTAGGCGGTCGTGGTGTCCCGGGCAGGGCAGGAGGTGCAGAGGATGAAGCCGCCGACGAGGAGGAGGAGGGAGGAGACGATGCCGAGGTAAAGAGCCTCCCCCAGCTCGAACTTCATGCTGTCGGGGATGACGGGGTTGCGGAAATCCCGCAGCACCACGTGGATGTTCCACACCAGCGGGATGAAGCACAGCAGCCCACCGAGGACGAAGACAGCGCCGCCCGCCACCGCCACTCGGTCCTTGCCCGGCGAGCCCTGGCTGAAGACGGTGCACCTCATGCCCAGGACAGAGAGCAGGCAGGCCAGGGAGGACACGGCGCAGGAGCTCACCATGAGGGCTTGGGCCGCCTGGACATCGGCGGGCAGGTTGAGCAGGGAGCTGTAGATGTCGCACTGGGTGATGCCCGTGCTGTACGTGGCGCACTCCATCCACAGCCCCTTGGTGAAGCTGACGGCTGTCACGATGCTGGAGCCGATGTAGGAGCTGGTTTTCCAGCTGGGCAGCAGCGTGGCCGTCAGCGTGCCGATGTAGCCCAGGAAGGCCACGGTGTAGCCCAGCAGCTGGAGCCCCATGGACACCATGGTGAGGGCTGGCTGTCACCTCTGTCGCTAGCCAAGGCTCGCAGCTTGTCGCCCAGGTCCCTCCCGTGTGCTCACGTTCCCATGGCCCTGCGAGAGGCTCCGCTCGCAGCGCTGCAGCTCCACCCCGCTGCCGGGGGTGCTGGTTTTGTGCAGGGTGGGAGCCCCGGGGAGGTTACCTGCGAGAGCAGAAAGCAATCCCTCCCCGATTAACGATTGACCCAAGCCCGTGGAGGAGCGCCAGGCGCCCTTTCACCTCCGCTATCTCCCCAGGCAGGCTCCGGAGCAGAGCAGCGCTGCCCAGGAAGGACGCCAAACCCTCCCCTGCACTGACGCCGTGGGCAGGGATGGAGAGCCAGCTGCTGCTCTGGGGAAAGTGCCCACTGCCTGCCTCGAGGTTCCTGTCTTCTGTGATGCCTCGAGCTGAGGAAGCCAAAAAGCTATGGCTGCACCATCTTATTTGGGACCTGCTGGAGGTGACTTCAGGTGCTGAAGCCAAAGCTCCCCCAGCTGAGGAAAGGAGATGGCACCTCGTACCATCTGTGTGGAGCTCACCCAAGGCATCTGCAGTCACCCACGACCCACCCCGAGCAGCTGAGGCTCCTTTGGGACAAAAGGACATGGCCACCTGAGATTGAACCGTGGATATCAGCCCTTCTGTGCTGCTGAGGACAAGGATGGAGAGGGATGCATGTGACAGTGACACCTGCATCCCCAGGAGAGCCTGGAGGCGCACAGAGGGCAGAATTACATCAGGGCTGGCACCTCCTTTGCGATGCTTTGTGGAAGCATGCCAGCCAAGCAGGGTGACCTGTCCTGAGGAGGGGTGAGCAGTTTGGGGTGCAGCTCATGCTGGGATTTTGTGCCGGTGCAACCTCCCGCCCACAGCCCTGTACACAGGCGGGGAGAGGTTGGCAGAGGTGGTGGAGAGGGTTGGTTTGTTTTCCCTCTGCTTTGTTTAAAAATTCCTCCTTCTGTGGTGCCTTGCGAAACCGGGCTGAGCCCGGCACGGCGGCCAGTGGCCTCCCTCACCCTGGGAACGCTCCTGGCTGAGCGTGCTGCCACCACCCAGGGCCTGCCCCTGCTCCTGTCCCCCCGCTGCCACCTCAAATGCTTGGCACCAAAGTTTCCCAGATTTCTGTCTGCTCTTCTGTGCTCTCACCAAGACCTCCCACACTGTCTCAGCTGCTGGAAAAGAAACACCTGGGGTGCTCAGGGTGCTCAGGGTGCCAGCAGGAAGGCAAGAGAGGGAGCTCTGAGGTACTTACGGAGGTGGCTGGAGGTGCAGGGTGGGACCAAGGGTGGCTGCAGCCGGGGGGCACCCAGGACTGGAGGCGGCTGCTCGGGGCAGGGTGAGCAGCCAGGGCCCCAGCCCAGGGGATCAGGGGCTGCAGTTGTTCAGCTACAGCTTTGCACAATCCACCTGCAAATCTCCTGGATCAGAGGCTTATTGCAGATCAGAATTAAACCCTTTGGGTGTCGGGAAGGATTGGGGAGCTGGGATGCCTCGCTTTGCTGGTTGTCTATGAATTATTGGAGTAGGTTCACCTAATGTGTTCAGGTTTGAGGCTTCTTGTCATCCTTCTGGACAGCCTTAGTGACTGGCAGGTGACTGGCACCATCCATGTGTCCACTCTGGGCTATGCTGCCTGTATTGGGGTTCGAGGGGCAGTGAAACACCAGCAGGTTGAGCTCCCCACTCCTCAGAGTCAGCCTGAACTTTTGGTTTACTCTTCCTGGCCCTGCTTGTCCTCCACGGGGTTTGTTGTTGTAAGACTACTGGCCCAAATGAGGAGCAAATGGGGAAGGTAATGAGAGCTGAGCTGGCCCTGTGCCCCCTCCTGCTCACCGGCTGCCACAGATGGAGAGGGGCAGGGAGGGCCTCTGGTGACAAATTGTGCTGGGAGCTGAGCAGGGTCCGGTCAGCGTTTGGACAGCAGTGTTTGGATGCTGATAGCAGAGCTACAGCAGGGACCATTTGCTATTTTCTTTCCTTGTCCCAAACTGAAACTCTCCCAGGAGCAGGAGGTGACCAGTTTGCCAGTGGCACTTTTCTTCGAGTGCTTGGGCAGGAGCAGTGGGCAGGGACAGGATGAGTTGCCCTGCTGGCGCCTTGCACTCTCACACTGAGGAGCTTTTCTGTCCCTCCTGCTGTGGTCTATATCTCAAAAACTCAAAGGAGAGGGCAGGGAACACTGCAGAGGGCAAGTGCTTGCTCTGCCATCTGTGGAAGTGGGATCTGGCAGCTCCCTGGGGTGATGGGCCATGGGTGCCTGAGCAAGACCATTGCCCTGATAGTGCCCGAGATCCATCCCTGCCACATGTCCTCCCTCCCTGTCTGCTCTTGAGCCTCTCTCGAGCCATCAGCTGCCTCCTGGTGGCTCTGTGCTTGCCACCACTGTAGCACATCAATGTCCTCGTCATGCCCTTTGTGCTGTCCCCAACACAAGCCCACCACACTGTGCCCGTGGCATGCCCAACACGCAGTCCCATCTCATGCCCAGTGCACTGTCCCAATCCCATGCCCATCATGCTGCCTCACCATTTCCCATCCCTTTCCCATCTCCCCGGCTTCCCTTATGCAAATGGCTACAAAGAACACTTAATCATCCTTGTTAATTGTCTCTACCCTCCCCTGTTCCCCCCCGGAGATTTTCTCACAAATGGTGTCCAAATTTTCCCTTTTGTGTTTTGCTTTTCCACCAGAGATCGCAGCCCCTCCGCCCCCAGCCTCCCCCCAGCCCTCTGTTTACACAACTGGGACAAATTTCACACTGCTGTCCCCACAGCCCCAGCCCCTCGCTCCCCTGCCCCAAAGAATTTGTGAGTCACGGCCGAGGCAGAGCTATAAATGTGTCCCCACCAAGGGTCTGCAGTGTCACAAGGGACAGTGTCTCCTGCCACCATGCAAGCTGCTGCCTGTTGCCTGACTGCCCACGGGCTCCGGGTGCCGGTGGCCAGTGCCTGCCCACCCCCAAGGCTGGAGCAAGGGGCAAGGTACTGGGGGGAGAGGGGCGGGCAGGGGGGTGAGGAAGGTGGGATGGGGAAGCTCCAGCTGGGTTTGGGTGAAGGCTGCAGTGCTGGGGACACTGCTGATGCCAGCGGCCGTGGGTGGCACAGAGGCTGCTGGCACTCGGGCAAGGCCAGCCGGGGGGATGAGGCTGTGGGGCTGAAGCTGCTCTCTCTCCTAGAGCCCTTCCTCTCTGGAGACCGTGGCTGCCCCGAGCCCAGGAGGGACCCACGCCGCGACGGGAGGAGATGGATGCTGTGAGTTTGGCACTCCCCACGTGTGTGTCCCCATGCCCTGCCCGTGGGCTCCCTGCTGGCACAAAACCAGCCTCTCGGCCCAGAGGCTCACTCCGTCCCACGGAATCCTGTGTCCCACGGCTGTGCCGTGCCCACCTCCCCGGGAGCATCCCCCGCGCCTGGGGCCGGGCCAGGCTGAGCCTCCGAGGGGACCCGGCCACAGCAGCCCTGAAAGGGCCGCCTGTTCCCAGCGGGGCGGGCATTCCTCAGGGCGTTAGCTGATGCCTGGGCACCCGCTCTGGAGCACGGGGGAGAGATTACCCTGGCAAAAAGCCTGTCAGGAGGCTGTGGGGGTAGATGCCAGCTTCCCTGCGGTGCTGTGAGCGCTCAGCCCAGGGGCAGGGGAGGGGGAGTTGCTGGGTGTGGGGCACCCCGGTGCCAGCCGTGCGCCCCGCGGGGAGGGGCAGCGGGACCCCGGTGCCACCCGGCTGTGTCTCCCCAGGCTCGGGCTCGGGCAGCGGAGGGGGACGGCGGTCCCAGCAAAGCGCTGGCGTTCTTCCAGCACCCGGTCAGGTACGTGTCCCGGGCCGGGGCCGCGGGCGGGCAGGGCGGGCGCGGCGGGCGGGGGCTCACCCCGGCTCTCCCAACACAGGCTCCTCTGGCCCAAGTCCAAGGCCTTTGACCACCTGTACAGCGTGGGGGAGAAGCTGCTGGAGAACTTCCCGGTGCAGGCCACCCTCTGCTTTTATGAGGACTCCGGCAGCGAGGAGGAGGAGGAGGAGGAGGAGGAGGAGGAAGAGGAAGAGAGGGATGATGAAGAAGAGGAGGCGATAGGGGATGTGACCGCGGGACACCCGCGGAATGCTGGCAGCCCCGGCCCCAGCAGGCCGGCGTGAGGCAACAGGCAGGCAGGCAGGGGAAGGCAGACAGCGCTGCGTGCGGGGCCAGACCCGCCCGGAGCCCCGGCCAGCCCCCGGGGCCGCCCCCGGGCCGCGCCCGCGCTCCGCGGGACCACGGCGGGGCTCAGGACTACGACTCCCAGCGGCCACCGCGGCACCGCCCGGCAGCCGCAGCCCACTCTGATTGGCTGTCGATCCATCCCGAGCAGGGGGACGAGCGTGTGGCCCCGCCTACACTCCCGCCCTGCATCTCCATTGCAAGAGGAAGGCGGCGCGCGCGGGCCGCGGAGGGACGCGATTGGCCGAGGGGCGGGAGGGGGCGTGTCGGGGGCGGGGCCTCCCCTCCCCTGCCCGTCGGCGGGAGGGAGCGGCTGCGGCGGGCGCGGGGCCGCCATGAGGTACCGCCGGGGCGCGGGGTGCGGCAGCGGGGCCGGGGGCAGGAAAGCCGAGCTGCGGGGCCGCGGCTGCGGGGCTGGAGCGGGGATGAAGGGGCTGGTGCCGCGGAGCGGGGAGCCGGGAGCCCTGGGACTGGCGCGGCGTGTCTGGGCGCGCGGCGAACAGCGGAGACGAGGAGGACGTGTCGGTGGGGCGGAGGGTGGGGCTGGAAAGACCCCGCACAGCCGGAGAGGTGGGGTGGGGGACCCCCCTGTGGGGTGACAGGTGACACGGGAGTCTCTGTTGTAGGGTGGCAGGTGAGCTAGGGGACCCCGTTGTAGGGTGACATGTGAGCTAGGGGACTGCGCTGTGGGGTGGCAGGTGAGGAAGGGGACCCCGCTGTGGGGTGGCAGGCAGAGGGGCTCTGCCTTGGGGTGGCAGGTAAGCTGGGGGTCCCTGTTGTGGGGTCACAGGTGAGCTGGGGGTCTCGGCTGTGGGGTGACACTTAGGCTTGAGGGTTCTGCCTGGGGGTGGCTCTGAAGGCTGAGGGGGGGCTGGGATGCCCCTGCACAGCTGGGCAGGTGGGCTGGGGGTCCCTGCTGCAGGGTGACAGATGGGTGGGGGTCCCTGCCGTGGGGTGGCTCTGGAGGCTGAGCGCAGTGGGGATCATTTGGAGCTGGGTTTGGGCACAGAGGGGCCGCGCTGGGCACTGCCCGGACAGCGTGAGCACCAGGGTGGGGTGTGAAGGCTGTTCTGGGAGGGCGAGGTTTCCTGCCCTGTCAAGCGTAGCCGGTGTAGCCTCTTCTCCTCGCCGTGGATCTTGGCACGGAAAAGCCCCAATATTCCTGGGATCCAGCTGAGCCGCTGGCACCGCGGCTACGTGATGCTGGCACAGTCAGCATCCTCCCTGCGCGCCGTGGCGCGTCACTGGGGGCTGCGGGTCCCCCCGACCCGTACCTGGGCCACCCCCAGCCTGTCGAGGAGCTGCCACCTCCCAGCGTGGACCCTCGGGGTCCGCGGGGGGCCGGCTCCAGGCGCGCTCCGTGTTTTCCCGGCACGATTTCCTCCTTTGGCAGCAGTGACGGGAGCGGGGGCGGAGATGGGGGGAGCCTGGGGGAGACACAAATGTGCGACTGCAGCATCCTCACTCCCATGGCTGCATCCCTCGCGCCTCCTCACGGTTGCCTTAGCAACCTCCTATCGATGGGGTATTTATAGAGGATGGGAAGCCGGAGGGGGGGGATCGGGAATGGGTGGGCGTCTGCTAGGTCAGCCTCCAGCTTAAGGCTTCTCTCGGCTTGCGTGGGGGCAGGAGGGATGCTGCTCCCCTTGGCGTCAGCGTGTGCACTGATCCAGCTTTTCCTGCTGGCTGGAGCCAGGGGAGGTGGCCAGGAATTTGCATGTGGAAATAAAAATAAGCGTCTGGGACGTCTGCCCTTCTCACCGGCATTGTTCGTGCTTGGAGGCTTGTGTGCAGCTCCCTGATTGTGGTGCTGTGTGCACTGACACAGATACATGGAAGAAAGTAAAAGAGTGTAAATTAAATGAAACAGCATTAAATTTGTTGCCTGATGTGTGACGCGAGAATATCCTTCTTTCTGTGTCTTTGTTCTCCTGTCCGTCAGAGGGGGAGGATGCCTGTAACAAGGAGGGTTTGTGTGGAAACTGTGGCATCTGTGCTGTGCTGTGCTTTCTTTTATCCTTGGGCTTTGGGTCTCTTTGTAAAAACTGATGACAGCAGAAGTGGGTCAGGTGGTCCCTGCTCAGAGCCTGTGGGGGAATTCATGGATCCAGAGGCCTCTCACATCCCCCCGAAGGGCTCAGAGAAGCAGGATTGAGCTGTGGGGCACTGGAGGCAGCAGATCCCTCCCTTCTGGTACTCTGCTGCTTTCCCTTGCTCCTGCTTCAACTCCAGACTGAGGTTTGCAATCTGAGCTTCCCAAACTGTTGGGAAGAAGCTGCTTTCTCTCTCCGAATGCAGCTCCAGGCTTGCATGCCCTCTTGGCACTTTACAGTGTAGGGGCCTTGGAAAGTGCAGCAAAGCTGATGTTGGCAGGGAGAGGTGCTCCATTTACTGGAAGGTGGCTGTTGTGAGGTGTGCTGGTGTGCAGCATCAGCCCTTCTGTGTGCCTGCCTTTCATGTGAAAGGAGGAGTGTGTTTCCAGCCCTGCTGACCCTGTGAACAGCTCTGTGCTGTCCCTCACCTCACTCCAGCAGAGCAGATCCAAGTGCTTTTGGAATAACTGGATATCTAAAGTCCTGGGCCTGAGAGCAGCGTGTGGTTTAGTTCCTGCTGTTTCTAACCATGCTCCTTCATCTGCAATAAATCCCTGGAGGAGCTGTCCCCTCTGTCTCCTGACAGAGTTGTGGCTTTGCCACAGCAAGTGTCACACACAGCAATAGTCAGCCCAGAGCAGTCAGGAGATCCATGAGGCATTGAGCACAGGCGGCTTTGCCACAGCAAGTGTCACACACAGCAATAGTCAGCCCAGGGCAGTCAGATCCATGAGGCATTGAGCACAGGAGAAGACAAAGCATGGAAAACAAGCAGATATCCTCTGCTTCTGCAGGGCTTTGTTTAACTTCTGTGGGGTTTTGTTTAGTGTAGTTCTGCTTTTGAAGCACAAAAGGTGCTTGTCCAGCTGGAGAGCTGTTGTCCGGGGTGTGCAGAGAGCTCTGTCACTCTTGCTGCTGCCCTCAGCTTGGCCCAACAACCAGATTGTGGGTAGGAGTTGCAGAAGTGAGAACTGGCACGTCTGTGAAGTTGCTCTAAAATAAGATGATTGCTTCACCTGTATCCATCAATCTCTTGTGGGAGGGAAGAGCACAGGCTGCTCCCAGCAGTCTCTGACATGCAGGTCATCTCGTCTGCTGGTGAGAAATGGGGTCTATCCTTCATCCAGTTTTTCCCTTCCTACTTCTCTGGTCTGCAAGGGCCCTGCTTCTCCCTGGGACCTGCCCCAGCACTCTGGGAGCTGAGGGTGCCCTGAGCCCCTCCAGGCAGCTGAAGAGCAGGGAGGCAACTGGAATCCTTGGCTCTCTGCAGGGGCACTGCTGGGCTAGGATCTGCCGTGGGTCCACTGCTCAGCACCATGCTTTCTGCATGAATCTGATCCTGCGTGGTGGAGGCTTGGGCTTTGAGACTGAGTTGGAAATTTAAGCTGTCAGTGACTCTCCTGTTTTCTTCCCTGCAGGTAGGCAGGAGCCCCCCTTGGCCGAGTGAGGCAGCATGGCAAGTAAGTGCTCCCAGGCAAGGCGGAGAGGTGCCGGTGGTGTCGGAGGAGAGAAGGGGGATGTTTGACAGCCACCTCTTAAGAAAGGGGTGCCTGTGCATTTTGGGGGGTATTATTCTCTCTGGGGAGCAGCTGCCATCAGCTGTTGGCCCTAGATGAGGTCTGAGGTCCGGCCTGACTTGTGCTTCTCTCTCCCCTCTGCAAGGTGGGAGTCGAGAGGAGGTGCTGAAGGTCTGACCTCTCCGGGACTACCCGGAGCTGCAGCATTTCTGTCTCTGTGTGGTGCTTGCTGTGCAGGACGGGCCTCCCCAGGGCTCTCTGGGCTGCCTGTCTGTGCTGACATCTCTCACCAGCAGTGCTCCTCATGCCCTTGGCAGAGTGCCCACCCTTGGGGGCCACGCTGCCCTGTGTGGCCAGTGGCACTGGGGCTCTGTGTTCTGTGGAAGCTGCCGAGCTCAGCCCCACCCTGAGCTCGCTGTGGCACACTCAGAGCAGTGCTGGGCCAGCACTGAAGATGGGCTGAGCCTGGCGAGGCTGCAGAGGGGTGTGTGGTCTGTCCAGAGCTGGGCTCAAGCCTCCCTCCTCGCTCTCCTGGGCAGCCTGCACGGAGGCTGCGTGCCCCGGTGTGATGGGAGCGTCAGGAGGACGGCAGCAGTGAATGGGAGATGGAGAGATCTGTCTGGGATCTCGGGATCTGCTCGGAGTGTCACCAGAGCCAGCTGTGAAGGTGGAGGCAGTAGCCATGCTGGGGAGGAGGAGGACCCCAGGGACGACAGGTATGCCTTCTTTCATTATCTGTGCTGTGCTGGTGCGGGAGGGAGCAGAGATCTTTTAAAAAAGCTGCTTTAATCTTCAGTTAATGAGGAGGGTGCCCAGCTGGGTCCCTGCCTTCCTCCACTGCTGCCTTTTCTCCTTCCCAGAGCTCGGGTGCTGGCTCACCAGCATGTCCTGGTGGTGCAAGGTGTCCCCTGTGGTGGCACTGTCCCCTTTATGGTGACTCTGATGTGCAGGGGGGATGTGATGGGCAGGTTCTCTACCACATGCTCCCTGCCATCCCTGGCTGTCCCTCTGCAGGCACAGCCACAGTCCTTCCCAGAGCAGCAGTCCCAGGGTGTCTCCCCCAAGCAGGGCAGCTGAGACATGGGGTGGTGTCCACCAGGGGCCAGCAGCACCCCAGGAAAGCCAGCAGGGCTGAGGTGAGCCCAGCCCTTGCTCCTGCTTCCCCTGCCTAAAAGCTCTGATCTTTCCTGAGCACCGGTTCTCCAGCTGGTGTGGGGAGGCTTGGAGAGGCACAGGGGATGAGCACTGAGGCTGCTGGGCACTGGCAGGTCCCCTCAGCCCCGTGGTTTGGGGACAGGACCTGCTTGGCTGTCTGCTCTGCACATCAGCTGGGGATCCAGTAGAGATGAGAGGCTCGTTTCCTGAGGGCCAGTGGTTTTCCTGCTCTGGTCCTGAGCCACTTTGCACTTTTGAGAGGAGGGGACAGTGACTCATTTTCTGCTCTCCTGCCATTTCTATGTCCCTGAAATAAATTGCATGTGGGGAAAAACACACACCTCTGTCACAGCATGCTTGCAGTTGGGACAGTGCTTTTGATACCTGCCTGCCTGTGTGTCTGTTTTTATTTCCTACCTTAGTGGCCAGCTCAGCATGGCAAAGCAGGGAAGGGGTCCAGTGACTGCTTTCTGCAGGGATGGAAAACTCTGACAGTGAGATCTGCAGCCAAGCTTGTTGCTCTAAGATGTGCTGAGGAAGTTGAAATCCAAGTCTCAGGCTCAAGTGCCAAGGAGGGGAGAGTTTGTACCACGGCCTCATCAAGGTGGGAGGCAAAGGAGGTGAGGCCAGACTTCTTCAGCAAAGTATGGGACATTTGCAGAATGAATGTTGTCTTTGTAAAATTTCATCTCCTTCTGGAAAGGCTCAAGACAAAGTCAGCCTGCCAGCCTGTTCCCTCTCCAGCCAGGATAGCCCTTCTCAGCTGTGAAAGCCAAGGCAAGCTGATCCCTGCCCTTCTGCAAGATGCCTTCTGTGCCTCTTGAAAATGCTTTTTCGGTTGTCCTTGTAAAAAAAAAAATGGTTTGCATAATAAAGTCGATTCTGAGGGAAGATCTGTGACTCACATCATTCATGCTGCTCTTCATTCACACCTCAATGGTTCAGCCCTCTGCAAACTCTCACAGAAGGAAGGCATTAATAAAGCACGAGGGGAAAATGCACCTACACAGCACAAAAGCAGCTCAGCAGCTCACCAAGCCCAGGCTGGTGTAGCACAGTAGTAGTTGTTTCTTACACCACGATCTTGTCCCTGTTTATATTTCCAAATACTCTCACAAATACCTTGCTGTATTGTTTCAGCAGCAGGATACATGGAAGGTAAAGCAGAAGGAAACTTTCTCCCTGGCAAAAGGCTCCTAAGGAAAGAAGTTGGTGGCTTTTCACTGACTGTTTTGCTTGTGGAGCAGTATTTTGTTAGCACCAAGCTGGTCAGATGGGAGATTCTGTCCCCCTGCCTCCTTTGATGCTGCTGCTGTGTGAATGGGTTCACCTTGATGATCCAGTGGAAGACAGCCTGAGGGTGAAGGAGGTAAATAGGTTCCCGTGGATCACCCAGCTGAACTGATTCATCTTCCCAAGGGAAGCAGCAGGATTTTGTGGCTTGGTGGGAAGAGCTGGAAGCAGACTACAGCTGAGCCTGTTGAACTGCATTGTGGAAACACTCATTCATGAAATGTGTGTTTGGATCCCAGAAGGATCATGTTTTGTGTGAAGTTTCTGCTCTCTGAGCTTCTTTGCCTCCTGTGCTGCTGCAGGTCCTGGCAGGTGCCTCCCTCCTGCACCCATGGAGGTGTCTTTCCTGCAGGATATGGAGAGAGGCTTTGATGTCTCTCGTGCAGGCAGTAAGGAGCTGTTCCTGCTCTGTCTGGCTTCAGGACTGCATGTGCTGTGGGAAGACTTGAGGAGTCTCCCAGGCTTTGGGAGCAGAGGAAAGTTTGTGAGGCCTCTGCAACAAAACACAGTGGGGATGAGAGAGTGCTGCTGTGTGAGGAGAGGTCGCTCAGGCCCTTACTCATATCCCCCTGTGCTGTCCCTGTGTTTTGGAGATGTTGGCACTTGTTCTCCTGGGCTTGGGAGAAGACAGTGGTTTCTCTGGGGCCTGGGCAGAGTCCTTGATGCCACCTGAGCTTGCATGACCCCTGAGCAGCTGGCAGCAGGGACACCAGCTTCCAACAGGCTGTTGTGTTGAACTGTGGGCTCTTAAGTCCCTCTCAGTGCTGGCTCCATGTCCTGGCACAGCTCTGTGTCCCAGCCTTGTGGGGTCTTGCTCTCCTGGTGGGTTCTCCCTTGCCCTACAGCAAAGGGGCAGAAAGATGAAATCCATCAGGAGCAGAAGTTGGAAACAAATATTTTTGGAACCTTTTGTCTCTTCCTCAGTTGCTCTGTGTGGCTGCAGCTGCTGCTTCTGATGTCTCTAGCACCTCAGCCCTGACAGGAGGGCTCCTGGTGCCATATGTCTCTGGGCAGACCCAAGAGTCCTGTGCCCCTCTGGCTGTCCTACCTGCTGTCCTACCTGATTGTAGCCCTGGGTTTTTGGTGTTGGGGATGCATGTGGTGTCAGGAAGCTGGGTTGGAAAGCTTGGCTGGGCAGAGGCCAGCTATGGGGCTGTCCCTGCTCAGAATGTCTCTGTCTTGTGTGTTGCAGTGTTCTTGGGGGCCAGGAATGCCCACTCGCTCCTGAAACGCTTTCCCAGAGCCAATGGCTTCCTGGAGGAGATCCGGCAGGGCACCATCGAGCGGGAGTGCATCGAGGAGGTCTGCAGCTATGAGGAGGTCAAGGAGGTGTTTGAGAACAAGGAGAAGACGGTGCGTGTGTCCTGCACTGCTCCCCAGGGCATGTGGGAGGGCTCACACCTCAGCAGGCTGGACACAGAAGGAAAGCACAAGGGGAACAGCCTCTCCTATTGCCTTTGTCTTGTTCTGGCTGCAGGCAGCATGTTGTGGCCTCACTTCCCAGCATGGCTTTCCCTTCCCAGGCAATGGCCTCACCTTGCTTTTGCCAGGACTCCCTGCCCACAGCTGCAGGTTGAGCTGGTGCTCCCATGGCAGGTGTGGCAAATCTGTGCTGTTGTCCGTGATTCTCTAGGCTGGGCTTGGTGTGGAATAAATTTTTCCCTGCTTGCTGTGGGATAGTGGGGGATGATCCCAGGACCTTCTGTGTTGGTCTCACAGCAACCCAGGTTGAAAGGGTGGGGAACATCCAAAATGCTGACCCTTTTGTGGGTGTGGGGAGGGCAGTGGTTATTGCTGGTGGTGGTTGGGGTCCTTCTCCCAGCTGCAGCACATGATGGTTGTTTCTCTGTTCCTGTCACAGATGGAGTTCTGGAAGGGCTACACCAGCTCTGTGTACTCTGTCAAGGACCCCGGGCACAGCACGGAGCGCTCTGACGCTATGTACGTGGTGGTGCCCCTCTTGGGAGTGGCTCTTCTCATAGTCATCGCCCTCTTCATCATCTGGAGGTGCCAGCTGCAAAAGGCCACCCGCCACCGCCCCTCCTATGCCCAGAACCGTTACCTGGCCAGCCGGACGGGCCGCAGCCTGCCCAGGGTCATGGTGTACCGGGAGCGCTCGCAGAGCCAGGGGGAGACCCAGTACCAGCGGGAAGCCAGCAGCCGGGGAGCTGGGGATGCCAGAGCCGCGGGCACCCCCCAGCCAGACGGCACCCTGTGCCCGCCAGAGCATTCTGTCTCCGTCCTCTCCAGACTGTCCAGTGCCACTCCCCCGCCTTCCTACGAGGAGGTGACGGGCCACCCCGAGAGCAGCAGCGGCGAGGAGACCAGCGTCTCCTACAATGACCCTCCGCCCAAGTACGAAGAGATCGTGGCCACGGCCCCTGCCGCGGGCAAATAGCGGGTGTGCCTCCCTGCTGCCTCTTCACACTCTCACACTCACCCTGCCACCCTCCCTTCGCCATGCCTGGGACCCCCTTCTGGTGTTCGTCAGGCCCCATTTCACCTGTACAATCTGGTGCCATCACACAATAGCCTTACCCTCCTAACCAAAAATAGCTGTCCCCAGGTGGGGTGAGGCAGGGCTGTGGGATGGCTCTGGAGCCAGCCAGCCATCTCTGCCCCTCACTCCCAACTCACGTAAGTGCTGTAGCAGCCAGAGCAGAGCAGCAGCTTGTTCCTGGCTCAACCTGGGGGTCTCCCCATGGTGCATTTGATTTCCTCACTTCCCCCTCAAACAGACATAACATTTCCCACGATTAGAGCAGCCTTGCTGCCTCCCTGGGCTGCTGCTCAGCCTCACCCCATGTTCTGGGCCCTGTTCTACTGCTCAGGGCTCTGATTAGGTGACGGAGATGCAGGATTGGTGTGGCAAATTTTTGTCCATCCCTGCCGTTGGTGGGGCCAGCTCTGTGGGGAGATGGTGCTTCCCCCATGTGGATTTGTTGCCAAGTGGGAGTGGGGAGCCCGGTCCACACTGTGGTGCCTGTAGGGATATTTGCTGTGTGGAGATCAGGGAGGAGCAGCTAGAAGGTGCTCTCTGATCTCCTAGATCTCTTTGGAAAGGGAGAAAGGGCTCATGGTGGTCTTGTTCTTGAGGTAAGTGGCTTTGGAGTAGCAGGGCTTTCTCCTGATGCTCTCTGCTCTCCCCTGTGGGTGCTGAGCAGCTGGAGGTCTGGCTGCTGCCGAGCTGATCAAGGGCGTCCTCTCTGACCCCGAGCAACTGTGGTCTCATGGCTTTAAGTGATGGGGATTCAACTCTCTCCTGGAGCGTGGCCTATCTGGTGTTTGCCCCAGAGGTGAGAGCCTGCAGACAGGCCAAACATCCCCTCTCCCTACCCCAAACCTCTCTGCCCTGCCTGGCTCCTCTCTTTGGGACTCTTTGTCCTCCAGAGCAGGTACAGTGGAATGCGGGACCCCACTCGGGGTGACCTCTCAGGTGGGCTGAGTGTTTGGTGTCCAGGGCTGTGGCCTGGAAGTCCTGCTGACAGGGGCAGGAGCCACAAGGCCATGCCTTGGCAGTGAGGAGCAGGGCCAAGCCTGCTCAGGTGGTTGTGTTGCCAGGGCAGGGCAGAGCCAGGTGCTTTGCTGTGGGACCAGTGTCCCCTTTCCCTGGGCCTATAGGGTCCAGGCAACAGGGCTGTCCTTCCCCAGTCATGTCTGATGGATTAATACAAGGGTTGTGCTCCAACCCCCCAGAAGCAGCCCAGAAGCTCCCAGCACTGCCACCACCCGGTGTTCACCCAGCACCAGCCTCTCCACCAGCACCAAAAGGCTATTGTCCATCCATCAGTGGCCTGCATCCCGCCCGGCCCCAGTGATGCCCTCGCAGCTGGTGCCCTCAGCCCAGAGCTGAGGCTTGCCCAGCGTGGCTGCTCCTGGGGCAGGACATGCTGGCACCTCGGCTGTCCCCTCCCCAGCCTTAGCAGGTCGGGGTTATGGGGAGAGCTGAGAGAGCTCAGGGCCAGAGCTAGAAAACACCAGAGGGAGACACAAGGATGCTCCGCATCCTCTGTCTTTGATGCTCAGTCATTATCCCTGCAGTTTGTATTCTGTAAAACTTGGTATATTTCTGTGCAAAAGAAAAGGTATTTATTAAAAAACCCTCACTGTCTGAGTGGCACAGGGTGGCTTTTTCCCACAAAGGGTGTTGTGTTGTGGGGGACAGTGACACCAAGGACTGCCACCATGGCTGCTGGACTGTTCCCAGTGAGGATGGGAGCGTCCGGGAGTGAACCCCAAAGATCCAACTGGAGCCCTGAACTTCACCTGGCCATGTGGTGTACCCTCGGAGAAACCTGAAGGGTGTCCTGCGAGCCCCGAGCTGCCGGCAGGTGAGGTGCAGAAAGGTTTTCTGAGGGTCTTGGAGGGGATTGAGGTGCACAGGTTGTCCTGCCGTCCTCTGTGCGCTCCTAAACCCCTTAGATAATCCCCTTTAAATAGCAAGACTAGGGCAGCGGGGGATTTATTTTAAGTCCTTTCAAACCCAGATTTTACGGTCAGGTCTTGGACCATGTCCCCATTCAGAAGTGTTTAAAATTGCCGTTAATCCCAGAGGGATCCTTTATCTCTGCGAAGGGCCGAGATTAGCTCCGGCACGGGGCGGCCCCGGGGCTCTGCTGGGCCGGGGGCTGCGGGGAGCGGGCTTTGCCCGGGGCTGGGGACACGGGGAGGGTCCTGGGTCTGCTTCTGCCCCTGGCGACAGCAATCCCGGTGTTGTAGCACGCGGCTGAGCACGCCTGAGGGAGGACACGAGGGCTGCCGGGGGAGGTGCCACCAGGATAAATCCCAACGTGTTAATTACCGGCTGCGGCTTTAAGCGGGGAGAGACCGGCTGGGCACCGGGGGCCGGGCTCCTCTGCCGGCACCGCCCCGTCCCGGCTGTTTACAGGTCCGGCGAGTTGCGTGGCCCTGCGACACACAGTAAGTGTCCCTCCCCGGGCCGCACTGTCCCCTTGTCCGCTCGCACGGCCGGGCCGGGGCTCTGCGGGCCGCTGCAGCGTCCCCGGGGCAGGGCCGGGATGTCCCCAGGGCCGGGAGGGCGTGGGACCCCCCTGTGCCTTCCCCGGCCGGGTCCCCTGCCGTGTGTCCCCGCAGCCGCCCGGCGTGCCCGGAGCCGTGCTGAGGCAGCGGGCTCATCCCGAGCCCGGTGAGGATCCTGCAGTGCCGGGGTCCCTCTCCGCCGGGACACGGTGTGTCCCACCCCCGTAAGGATCCTGCCGTACCGGGGTCCCTCTCTGCCGGGACACCGTGTGTCCCCGAGCCGCAGGGCAGAGCTGGCAGAAACCCACCGCCCCCTCCAGCTCCCCACCCGAACGGGGTGTGCTGGACCCCGCCTGCCTTGTCTGGGGTGTCCCGGGCTGGAGAGGGACAGAGGGAGGTTGTGGAGTTTCCCTCCCCAGGTCAGGTTTTCCTGGCTCGCAGGACTTAAAGCTACTCTGGTTTAGTGAGCCGGAAATTCCCTGTAGCTGCAAATCCAAGGAGAAGTGCCAAAGCAGAGGCTGAGCCTCTCCAGGCGAGTGGGGGGTGCTTGGCAAGAGCTCGAAAAAGCCCTAAAGAAAGTTAAAGGAGGAAATCCAGCCACTTAAGCATTTTGTTCTTATGAGTTTTGACAGCTGATTTTTTTTCCCCTTTCTTAATAGCTTAGTCTCAGAGCCTCCTTCTCATTCTCTCCCATCCCTCTGTTCCTTGGGAGCTGCAGTGGTTTCACAGGTGATTAGAGAATGAACAGATCTGCCCTCTCCAGATTTACTGTTATTAATATAAGCTGGTTTCCCGGAGAACAGCCTGGGAATGCAACACAGGCTGCTGGCTCCTCTGAAGCACCACAGATGTGAAGGAAAACCTGGTGCTCTCCATGGCTGTGTACCCTGGCTGTGGGTCTGAGGCAGGTTTCTCCTGTGGGACTGACACATTTTGGGACCATCCCAGGAATTACTGTCCTGTTTCTGAGAAGGGGATGCCTGAAAAATCCAGTTTCTTTGGAGTTTTGGGAGTGTGTGTGTGATGAGACCCATGGGTTGGGGCTGGGCAGGGTGCTGGGGATGGTGTGGGGCCCCCACTGGGTGCCCACAGTGCCTCCAGGACAGACCCAGTGTAGGACAGGGATGCAGTGTCTGCAAGGCTGCAAGCAGGGAATCACCACTGCTGGTGCTGGGCAAATCCCTGTGTAATTAAAGGTTTTTAATGGCAGAGGAGGAGGGAGCAGCACGAGGCGAGTGATCACTGGAAGTGCTGGTTGAGGCAGGTGCAGAGCTGGTTCTGCCACCCTCCTGTACCCAGAGTGTCAAGGCCTGGCGGCTGCAGGGGACAGGTCCCATGATCCTGCCCCGGGGATTTTCTTCTGCTCCTCTACCCTGGGTGGAATCCTAAAGGGTTGAAGGGGGCTGGGGAAGGTGAGGGTGTCCAAAGTGCTCTGAGAAACAGCAGTGAGGGATGTGGTGGGCCCTGGCTGCTGCTGGCCCCTCTTAGAGTGGAGAATTTTTTCTAGAAGGAAAGAAGGACCTTTTTGGGCATGGTGAAATCAAAAGGTGCCAGCAAGGAGGGTGCAGGATGCCGTGCATGCATGTTTGGAGTGCCTGGGCAGCACTGGGATTAGGCTGGGGTCTTCCAGCCTCAGCACCTCTTGCTTGTTGGGATTTTCTCCTCAACTACAGATTTTTGGGAAAGAATAAAGAGTGCATATGCTGGGAGCCAGGAAGGTAACTTTTGGGGCTCCTTTCCCAAAAGCGTACATTGATTGCCCTCTGCTTGTGTGGCTTGGTGAAAGTCTTGGGACATTGTGGCCCCAGAGCACTTCTCAAAACCCTGGGACTCAGCAAAAGGGAAACTGAGGCACAGGACCACCGTGTGTGCTGAGAACTGCAAAGCCCCAGGTGGTGTCCATGTCCCATTGGGGGAAGTGGATTTATAGAAAATTGTTAAAACTCACTGTGGTAACACCCAAAAACCATCAAAAGAAAACATGGAGAAAAAAGGTTTACCCATCATACAAGAAACATTTAAAGTGTATTGTAATTAAGAAGTTGTTAACTTCTGATTACAGTAGTGTCAATTATAACATCTGTATTGTCTCACCCTTCACATAAGACTAAAAATAGAATAAAAGTTTTTAAAACGCCTCTCAGTTTCCCCATCTCTAAGCCAAAAAAAATTATAATCCAACATCGCGTGTCCTGGTCCTGCTGTCAGCTGCTCCCAGGAGCAGGGAGAACTGGGGGCGCATCCCTCCTTGGTCCCACCTGGAAGAAGGCAGAGCTTGGAGCTCTGCTCCAAGCTGAGGAAGGGGATGCGTGGTTTTCCTTCCCCTCTGGGAGGGTGGTTCAGCATCTGGCAGCTCTGCTCAGGACAAAGTCCATCCTTACTGGATGTGGGTTACCCAAGGAGTGCTGGATCATGGGGGGAATGGGGTATGGCCCTGGGGATACTGCAGTGATCGTGTGTGTGGAGAAAAACTGAGCACCAAAGCCTTTCCTGTGGTAACCTGGAAGTCCATCCCCCCCAAAAAAGTGTGTTTTGCTTTTAGAAACTCATTTTTCCTCAAAGGTGTGTATGAACACAAAAATGTGATTTCAGCCCTCAAAATTATTTTCTGGATGGAAAGTAATTTTTTTCACTAGCACTGAACTGTGTGCTGAGCCCTTTCCTTGCTGTCAGTCAAGGCAGTGGGTGGTAAGCTCATACCTGGCTCCCAGGACACCTGCAGCCTTGTCCCTGGCAGCTGTCCCTGTGGGACATCCCCTTGTCCCAGACAACTCCTGCAGAGTCTGTCTTTTGCCTTGTTTCTGCCTGTGTTTTATCTGTCTTACAGCCTGTTGTGTTGTCCCTGTGCAGGTGCAAGAAGAGCTGTCCCTGTTGTCACTTTGCAGCTTTCTTGCCCTCTGTGTGAAACCCCAGGACACCTGAGGACACCTGCAAAGATGTGTGTTGCAGCAAACCTCTCATTAGGGGTAGAAGTGAGCCAAGGCACAGACTCTCATTTAACAACATGGAAAGGGTCCTGTTTATTCCTCTTCACAGCTTAGCCATCCTGACTGACTACAGCAAACTTCTGCTCTTGGCTTCTCTCACAGGCTGACTGCTGGCTGTTTCCTACTGTTGGGACATCCCCTTGTCCCAGACAACTCCTGCAGAGTCTGTCTTTTGCCTTGTTTCTGCCTGTGTTTTATCTGTCTTACAGCCTGTTGTGTTGTCCCTGTGCAGGTGCAAGAAGAGCTGTCCCTGTTGTCACTTTGCAGCTTTCTTTCCCTCTGTGTGAAACCCCAGGACACCTGAGGACACCTGCAAAGATGTGTGTTGCAGCAAACCTCTCATTAGGGGTAGAAGTGAGCCAAGGCACAGACTCTCATTTAACAACATGGAAAGGGTCCTGTTTATTCCTCTTCACAGCTTAGCCATCCTGACTGACTACAGCAAACTTCTGCTCTTGACTGCTGGCTATTTCCTACTGTAATACGACTGCAAGTGTTTCCTTGCTGCCTCTGACCACAGGCTTGGACTGTGACTGCAGGCTCTAATTTTATTAGAGACCCAGACTAACCTCACAGCAGATCTTCTGCAGCAGCAACTCTCTTCCTTCTTTCATTCTTCTTTGTGTCTCTCTGGGTCATTCCTTCTTCCTCAGATGTCCTCAAGGTCCTCTTCCTCCAGGCTCTCCCTGACTGCCCAACCCATCCCTTATCTTTACTAGTCACAGCTGGGACCCATTCAAGGCAAGGCTGTTCTTTGGTAATTAGTCCAGCTGTGACTTTCCAGGGGTGAAGTCCCCTGTAATCCCTCCTTCTTCACCTGCAGATGTGGCCGCTTTGGGGGCTCGACCTGAACCGTGTGCGCTGTGACCTGCTCTTCACAGAAGCCATCAACCAGAGGATGCAGGTTCCCAACAGGCTGAAGGTGGCAGAGAGCTGCAGCCCTGGGGACAGGAGGACAGTGACAGAGGATGTCCCTGCGTCCTTTCGGATGCACATCCCTGATAGGATTTCTCTGGCAGGTAAAGCTCTGGGTTGTCTTTTGGGGTGGGGCACAACATCCTAGGGAGTAGAACCCCTTTATAAACCCCCCCTTTCCTTTGCTTTGCTGGAGGAGAGGATGGGGGCAGATAATGCAGGCAGTTTT